ACATTTCACACCTGAGCCTCAACTCTCGCGGCCCGGTACCAAACGACTCACGGACCGGTACCGGTCCGAGGCCCGGGGGTTGGGGACCGCTGCTCTAGAGGACTAGACTTGAACTACAGTAACTTTGCATGATATAAAGTTCCTTTAAAGTCACCCTCCTTTTATATCATTATGTTTCTGGTTAGTGGGGTGTGGCAGAGCGGGAGATCAACAGACGAACTGGTGCTGTATAAGCAAAGCTCTCGATTTACCGGTCGATCTACATCCCTACCCTCACCTGTGCTCACAAGCTTTGGGTGAAGAAAGAACGAGATCACGGATACAAGTGGTAGAAGTTAAATTTGTCTGAAGGGTGGCTGGCATCTCCTATAGAGATAGGATAGGGTGAGGAGTTCGGCCATCCAGGAGGGGCTCAGAGTAGAGCCTCTACTCCTCCACATCGAAAGGAGCCAGTTGAGGTGGTTTGGGCATCTGACAAGGATGCCTGCTGGGGACCTCCTGGGTGAGGTGTTCCGGGCATGTCCCACCAGAACAAGGCCCCAGGGCAGACCCAGAACACGCTGGAGGAATTATATCTCAGGTGGCCAGGGAATGCTTTGGTTTTCCCCTGGACAAGCTGGAGGAAGTGGCCGGGGAGATGGAGGTCTGGGCTTCTCTACTTAGGCTGCAGCCTCCGTGATCCGGAGATTGATGGATGGATGTTTCTGATTGGCTGTCTCTCACAAACAGAAGGTTTAAATTGAATTGCTAATAGTTGGCGCTGTATGGATGAGATGACCATATTTAGGTTTCCCCCTCTCTTTGACATCATACAGAGCCTGTGCTTTTGGCTCATAGAGGTTACTTGCACATACACTTAATTCATTATTTGACTAAGTGTATGGCCCACTTTAATACCAATTCCACAGTCATGCTAATTAAAGACTGATGACAGCCAAGAGACAGTTGTTAGATTGTTGTCCCTTTTCCCTGCTGGATGTATCACGGATTCCTAGCTGTAAAAATTCACTGGCTAATTTGGCCTGGACCTACAGAAGAGGTATGCCTAATTAAGTTAATATTTCACTAAAAATTTCACTTGCCACTTATGATCTGATTAGCTGCTGAGCCTCTGCACCAAGAAATAATGAGAGTAGTGTTTGCAGCAGGTCTGATTGTGCTGAGTGAAAGTCAGGAGGAGTGCATAGCCTCCTAGAGCTCATTCTACTAATCCGCCTGTGCACTCTGCAACTAATGTGCAAATAAAGCACTCCGAAACATCGTTTCAGAATTTATACACTCTGAGGGGAAAACAGGCAACAAAATAACCATCATTCACCCAAAGAGCAGGATGTGAAACACCTCACAGGCTCCATCCTAAAGCCGGTGCCCACATAAACCATTTAAACTTATTCTAGTCGAGTCATGATTACACTGACAGGTCCGGCATGATAATTGAGCGAGACTCTCTGTGATTACTTGTCAGC